TTTTTTTTTTTTTTTTTTTTTTTTGTCTTTTTTCCGTGTCCGGCAACGGATCGCAACCCTCAGTGTTGCCCCCGTACCAGACCAGGGACTGGCAACAGGATTGCAACCCTCAGTGTTGCTCCCGCGCCTCGCTCAGCCAGTGAGCGGGAACCGGTCTGTATGTGGGATCCGAACCCTCGGGCAGGAGCGCTGCCGCGCTTCCCAAGCGGCGCACTATCCAGTGCGCCACCGGGCCGGCCCGTATGCATACTGAATGTTAAGCAAGCCCCCACCTTATTCTTCAGAACATTTTGGCTATTTTTGGACATTTGTTCTTCCTATTAGGTTTGTAAAATCAATATTTGTCAAGTCCTTAAAAAAAAAAAACTGGTGCAGGGATTTAATGGTATTTTTAAAAGACTGTAGGTCTCTTTTGAGAGAGTTGAAATGCTGGTAGCACTGAGTTCTGCTTTCTAAAAACACAGATTTTCTTTTATAGTTCTTGTTTGTTTGTTCACTGCTGGTGGTGCTGGACTGGATCCCGCATGATGGTGACCAGGAGTGATGTGCTGGGCATACTCGACTTGTACCTGATTGTTCTGGAGAAGACAGTGAACTTCACACAATTTATATGTTCTTTGTTCTTTGAACATTCTTTTATCATTTTGTCCTTTATCTGGTTTTGTACATTATCACCTATTCCCTGATGGTAAGAGCTTTTTTCTTTTTTAGTGTCTCCCTGTTAAATATTGTAAAATGGTTTTTAGCAACTCTTCAGATGATTACAGATAAATCATATGAATTGATTTTAGACTTTTCTATTGTAAAATATAACAATGATGCAGAAAAATACATATGACATATGTACAAATAACAGAAATATTAAAAAGTAATCCTCTGAATTGAAAGCCAGCCTTAAATGTAGAACAAGCTTTCACACCATACACCGCATTTGAAATGAACCCCAGTGGGAGGCCTCTCACTCTCCACTTGTAACCAACATCCTGAGTTGTATGATTCATGTATATCACTCATATATTATAGGAATTATAATATACAAATTATGATATATTTAGTGATATGATTATATATAGTTATACAAACATATGTGTTGTCACATATGTATATATCTATTTTAAAAAACAATTTAGGTACTAATTTACGTGTTTTCTCAAATGGTTACTTTCCCGTTCTCCTTTACCCTGCCCTGCAAGCAGTTATTCACACACAAACACAGAGACATAAGAATTTGTATGTATACAGTCATGCATTGCTTAATGATGGATATTTTCTAAGAAATGGGTCATTAGGCAATTTCATCATTGGGGGAAAATCACAGAGCATACTTAAAAAACCTTGATGGCATAGCCTGCTACACAGCTAGGTCATATGGTACAGCCTGGTTGCTCTAGGCTACAAACCTGTACAGTGTGCTACTGTACTAAATATGGTAGGCAATTATAATGCAATCATATGCATTCGTGTATATAAATGTATCTAAACATAGAAAAGGTGTAGTAAAAATACAGTATAAAAGATAAAAAAATGGCACACCTGCATAGGGCACTTCCCTTGCATGGAGCTTGCAGGACTGGAAGCTGGTCTGGGTGAGTTAGTGAGTGAGTGGTGAGTGAGTGTGAAGGCTGAGGACATCACTGCACACACTGTGCACACTGCAGACTCTGTAAACACTGCACACTTGGGCTACACTAAACTCAAAATATATGCTTTTCTTCAGTAATAAATTCACCTTAGCTTACTGGAACTTTTTTACTTGATAAACTTTTTAATATTTTTATTTTATTGTATTTACTACTCCTTTTTTTTTGGTGGCCGGCCAGTAAGGGGATCTGAACCCTTGACCTTGGTGTTATAAGGTCATGCTCTAACCAACTGAGCCGACTGGCCAGCTCCTTAATATTTTTAACTGTTTGACTTTTTCGTAATAACATTTAGCTTAAAACAATCACATTGTATAGCTGTACATAAATATTTTCTTTATTTATATGCTTATTCTATAAGCTTTTTTCTATTAGTTTTTTTCTTTTACTTTTTAAAACTTTTTATTGAAAGCTAAGACACAAACACACACATTAGCCTAGGCTTGCACAGGGTCAGGATCATCAGCATCACTGTGTCTCACCTTCCACATCTGTACACTGGAAAGACTTCAAGATGTTAATACACATGGAGCAGTCCTCTCCTGTGATGACAGTTCCTTCTCCTGGAATGCCTCCTGAAGGACCTGCCTGCGGCTGATTTATGGTTAACTTTTTGTATAAGTAGAAGGAGTAGACTCTAAAATAATGATAAAAAGCATAGTGTAGTAAACACATAAACCG